TGTGTGTGTGTGTGTGTGTGTATGTGTGTGTGTGTGTGTGTGTGTGTGTGTGTGTGTGTGTGTGTGTGTGTGTGTGTGTGTGTGTGTGTGTGTGTGTGTGTGTGTGTGTGTGTGTGTGTGTGTGTGTGTGTGTGTGTGTGTGTGTGTGTGTGTGTGTGTGTGTGTGTGTGAGTTGCTGGTTATGCAAATAATCATTAGACAATTGTACCAGGAAGTTTGGGGTAAGAAAGAAAAGTCCCCAGCCTGTTCCTCTAAGTTCCTCATTCTGCTAGATGACAAGCAGAGCTCCATGAACAGCACCGAGAGCGTACTGGAGGACTAAAATAAAACCTGTACAAGAAGAACTGTTTCCTTCACCGAGGGCTTTAAGAGGTAAGCCTTAAGAGTGGATGACATCAGATGTAACACCTTGAAAGTGTCTTAAAGTTTGTTGGTTTAAAACAGTTTCCAGCAACACTTCTCAAATCTGTGGGTGGTTCTCTTATTTCTGCCTCCAGTATCATAGAAATCATGTTATCGCCCATGTTTCGGTGTCCTATTAGCAAAACATCTTTTAAAACTCAACAAATTTTAAGGAAATGTTCAGAGCAATGGGTCGACATCTGCAACTGATTAACTTTTGAAGTAGAACTCGTTCGAGAAAACACAAAGAAAAAAATGGCTGTACCTGAGTGAATTTGACAGACACTATGATAAAGTGTGGTGTGGTAGTTGCTGAGAGTCATCCTCAACACATACACAAACAGATCATGTGAGATATTGCATGAGAAGGTGCCGTCCTTTTCAAGGTGAACCATACGGGCTGTAACTTTGTCTTTTCTCAACATAAGATAAAGTTGGTCTAAAACTCTGGCACTAAAGGCGTTATATGAATAATAATAATGAATGCTAGTCATTAATTTTGTTATTTTGAGGCACAGAACCAAACACAAGATACTGCTGCAGAAAACCTCGTGACAGTGGAGGAAAAACAACGCAGTTCGACTTTTTATTGTTCATGTATTTTCTGATACAGAAAATACACGTGTGGGCAGAGAATATCCGCTCTTTGATTCTTAAGCTTCTACCTAAACAAGGAACACAAGTTTTCAGACATGCCTCCTTTTGGTTCCCCTTCTTCTTGTTCAAACATCATAAATCAAGTTGCCCAGCTGTGCAAACTTCCTTCTGAATGCTTTTAGTCTTGAAACTGTTCGTTAAGCGCTAAAAGTGTATTTACCAGGTGGGTAAAATATATTTGTTCACTAACGGGTGAAATGACGCTAATGTCTGTACAGACATTTTGGGAATTTTGAGGGAAATTCCTTGATGGCTGCTGAATTGAAAGACCATCAGAGGAACGTGTAGCATGCTGTTATTAGGTCAAACATTAACTCTGTCCTGTTTTATTTCATGACGTAATCCAGCAAGATTCCCATAAGTCCTAACTGTGCCTCATGTTTACTGCTTCAGTACTGATTCTGTTAATTCACCATTAAAATGCCAAACATATGTTGGAAAAAAAAAAAAACTCCATTCTGATAGACAGCCAGATTATTCAACATACAAATTGTCAGATACGTGTGAACACCTGCTGCAGATGGATCAGTCAACACGAGTGCACGGATCAGATCGTCATGGAATGTGACTTTTAAGATTGTCTTACCCAGATTCACAAAGGAAATGCTGCGTTCAAGGCTGGTGAAAAGCTGGGATATCTGAGCCTTACCAGATTTACTGAGTCATTGAGAAAAGACACATTTCTAACTTGGCACAGCGTCTCATATCATCTCTATTAAAACACACATGCGTACATTAACATAGTTATAATCAGACAATTTTACAGATTTTAAGCTAAAATCTAATGTGGTAGACTAATACACAGTTTATACCTCAGTGCTAACTGATCTGGGTTCAAAACTTTAAAACTACTGAAATCAACTCTACCTGTTTATTAGCTAAATATTGTACTTTGTATGAATAAGTGAACAGATTTTAATAAAACTTACAGAAAGTGATCGTTGGCTTTAATTCTATAAGTGATTGATTTTTGGAGTAAACGCAGTCCAGGATGACCATCACAACAAATCAGTCTACACAAAAATGGCTACGATCACATTTTTACAGATACTGATCTAAAACTTTAGGTGGTAGTAGCTGACTGTAGTCTTCAACACAGTCCGTGCACTGACAGAGCATGCAAGATATTACAATATTTCATTAAAATAGAAATTCATTAAAACTCTTGCAAAAAAAAAAGCTGATGTGGCCTATATAAGGTCCTTCAAGGAGTGCAATGATTTTTTTTTTAATTAAATGTGTATAATATTCTATTTTACATGCGTTTT